TTTCCATCTCTGGGTGGCTGAGCATGAGCTTTTGAAGCTGAGGACAAGGATGGGAGCTACTCACTCTATAGGATTACAAAGGAAAGAGGGTCAGCAGGCAAAGTCATTAAGCCCCTGGCTTCAGGACACCCAGTATGCCAATGACCCACCCCGTTTCCTATAGTCTTTGCTCATTGATCCTAGACCTTGTGGAATAAGAGCTTTTAAACGTAATTTTGGGGACAACATTGATAAAACACGGTTCCCTTAGACCACCTGCAAGTTGTGGGAATAGCTTATGGTGCAGAACCCTCTTGTACGGGCAAGACTAGTTCCCAGATCCCCCCTGCTTTCCCACCTGGATGTTACCGCTTTGTGGTTGACGCAGAGTAACAACATAAGGTTCTCCATGTGCAGAAGAACTTTTATTTTAGAAAGTGTTCTCTCCATTTCATTCCTCACTCTGTTTAAGGTGGTGTTGACAATACATCCATTTTTGTTATGAAACAGTGATAGAAGTCATTTCTAGACGCCCGTCCTAGGTCAGTGCCTGCATTTATCACTGTGTCCCCTTGTTAAGTGGCTGAATGGCTCACTCTATGACTCTCTCTCTCTCTCTCTCTCTCTGGGGTCTTGTACATCCCGATGTCACCTGTGGCATCAAATGGGCTTCTCCTCAACATGAGCTGTGACTTTGGGGGTGTCTTTCTCACTTCTGTCACCGAGCTTCTGGCCCCTTCCCACCCACCCTCTGATGCCTATTCCTGCCTCTAAGAAAAGGAACAGAAGGAGACTCAGGAACCACAGCTGCCGTCAGCTCAGAGGAACTATATTTCAGGAGAATGGAAAGCACCCTGCATACTCATGCCCCACATTGTAAAGGAGGAACCTGGGCTTCCTGGCCTGGAATGGGAGACAAACGCAGGGAAGACTCACAACACTCAGACCATTGCTCCTTCCCAACCACGTTTTAAGTCAAGAAAATATGTCACCCTCACCATGTCCACAGGCCAAGGCAGATGCCTCTAGGATTGGGAAGCAGACTTGCAGATGCTGGGATTCTGGAGACCAGAGTGTAGGGTCCAGGTAAGGTTGCTGAGATCCAGCTGGGGCAGGGATGCTGAGATCCAGGTGTGGCAGGGCTGTACTCCCTCCAGAGTCTCCAAGGGAGGGGTCTTCCTGCCTCTTCCAGCTTCTGGGGTTCTAGGCATCCCTGGGCCTGGGGTCACATCCCTCCCATCTCCACCTTCATTGTCACATGGTTCTCCTCTGTGTCTGTGTCTCTCCTCCTCTGTCCCTTGTAAGGACACCTGTCACTGGATTTAATACCGCCTTAATCAAGAATGACATCATCTTTAACTAATTACAACTGCAAAGACCCTATTTCCAAAGAAGGTCCCACTGCAAGGTTCCCACCGGTTACAATTTTGGGGGAGACACCATTCAACCCTATGCAACATGAAACAATGATTTTGAAGTCATTGGAATTCATGCAACATAGGACAGTGACCCCAAGAAATGGGAAGCAGGCAGGCGAGTGCTGTGGCTGCCCTAGCTGAAGACTTGGGAGAATTTCCAGGCATGACTTAGGGAAGGGGACCCAAGTGGGGACCAGGCAAAGCCCCTGATTTGAGACCATGGGAGAAAGAACTGATGGCCTATAAGTAGAAGAGGGTGAGAGACTGTGAGTCAAGGGAGTGGGGAGTGGGGAGGGGAGAGATAAACAGGAAAGAGAACCCATAGATCCAAGGAGGGTCCCCTGCAGTTTTCAACAGAAATGACAGGGGGCCAGGAGCCCAGAGGGCCTGAGGATAAGAGAGGGAGGCAAGGGTCTGAGGGACAGGAGGAGAATGAGAAGCAAAATGTGTGGGTCTGCCGGAAATGCCCATCGTCTGGAAAATGGAGCTGCCTTTACAAGCAAACATACACAACAGGATGTGTTCAAGTATTTACTTTTAATGTGTGTGGTTTATTGGTGCCATCCCACGTCATAAAATTTGCCACACAGTGAAACAGAGTTTCGCCATCTGAATTGAATGGACCCTCACCATGCGTTGCAGAAAGGAGGAAGAGTCTCCCATTTACCAATGAAGAGACTAAGGGTCAGGGTGGGTCCCTTATTTGTGAAGATCTTCACTGGGGGACTGAGGCTTAATTAACCAAGTGGCCAGAAGCTACATGCTCCCACTGTCCTAAACTGTCCTAATCTCTATTCCCTTCGCCTCCCCTCCCAGCTGACTTCTCACCACCACCATCACCACCATCTTCACCATGACCATGACCATGACCATCACCATCTTCATTTTCAGTATCACCATCTTCACTATCACCACCATCACCACCATCTCCATCCCCACCACCATCATTATCATTGGTAGATAGATTCTTTAGCAAGTCTGCTTGATGAACTATCTTATTTTTCTTTTCAGGGAAAGGAGGCCTGGGTCTTCCCCTTAATTTCTTGTCCCACATCCTTCATGCCACAGTTGGAAGAGGAGGCCATGAACAGCAGTAGAGAGTCCAGAAGTGAGTCATTGACTGGCACACTACCAGAGACAAAGACACCTGCCAAGTGTCCACCTGCACATCTAGGCACAAACGAGCTCTTCAGAGTGAATGAAAGGTGCTGACTTTCCAGCAATACCACCCTTGGTGACCTGCCACCAGGCCCTTGGGTACATCCCACCCAGGACAACCATCTGGCTGGAGTGACAATGTGGAGGAGGGTTGCAGCTATAGGGAACACTTTAACCTTTTCTTCTCTAGGAGTTCCTAGAATACCATGGTGTGCAAATCTACTTCCACATTAAATTCTCAGAATGTGACCTACAGCAAAGGCTAAACTTAACCTTTAACAAAAGTTAAAACCTGTTGCGTCAGTTAAAAATCCAAGTCCCAAATAAAGAAAGAAGAGAATAGTACATTTTGTTATACTTGCAGAGAGGCAAATTTCCAGCGGTCTAGTATGTGTGTGGCCACTCTTGACCTTGGCCTCCAGTTCCCCTGTTTGGTCTCTGTGCTCTCCCCAGGCAGTCCTACAGGACCTTTGTGAGCCACCTCAAGGCAGACATGGTCCCTTTACTCTTCTTCTCCTTCTCCACATCCCGGTGGGAGCTCCAAGCAGATCTAAAAAGGCCAAGGCAAAAGCACTTGAAGCAAAGATGGAACAAAGGGGTCCCAAGAAACATCACGCTGTCATTCCTTCAGACCAGTCAGCACTTGTTAATCTTTTTCTGTGTGTGTGTCATGCCCAGCCAGACATGGTGGCCTTCATGACAGTGAAGAAGTATCATGTCGGGGTCCTTGAGAATCTACACCGGTACTGTGATTCAGTAGAAGGACTCACAGAATTCCACAAAGCTCTTACTCCCATGGCTCTGGTTTAATACAACAAAAAGATACAGATGAAAATCAGGAAGACCTACAGGTGCATGGGGCACAGTCCAAGAGAGATGAGGTCTGAGCTCTTCCAGGTGTCCCCTCCCCATGGACTTGTGGATGTTACTTATGTCTTCCAGTGACCATGTATGACAACATGCTTGAGGCAGTACCATCCAGGAATGTTCACCAAGCCTTGACGTCCAGGCATTTTCTTAGGATCAGTCACATAGCATGGAGTGTCCACATGGCTGAGCTGAGTCTTTCCATCACCAGCCCCTCCAAAAGGCTGGCTATGGCATGACCCCAAGCCCCATCCTAAATCACATCATAGCATAAAACCCATGCTGTGGCTCCAGGCAAACAAAGACACTCATCAGACAAGACATTTCATGGGTTCATAGGTGATCTTCTAGGAGCTGATCAAGGGCTAGACCTTAACCTGGAAGGGGCAGGTGTAGACAATCCAGGCCTGCTGAGTTAAATCTCTACCATGGAGGTGTGTTGTCAGATTTTTCAAGCTTCAGAGACTCAAATTGTGTAGGAGTCTAGAACATGGCATCTCTTCCCCTGGCTACATGCCCTTTGCCAGCTTTTTCTATTTCTCCAACTCAGATGAGACACCACCATTCCTGCACCTTTTCAGGAAAGGTCCTCAAGCTGTGCTGAGCATGGGTACCTGCAGTTCCTTCCTCAGTTCTGTCCTGGCCATTGTGCGTTCGTCATGCCGCTCACAGGGGTCTCCCCTTTGGTGCTGCTTCTGCTTCTAGGTTTCCAGGACCGCTAATGAGGGAGGGTTCTCTGGTGATCACATTAACAGTGTCATTGGGAGAGACGCACCTGACCAGAGCTGGCTCATCCCACTCAACGAGAGCTGACAGGTGACCTTCCCGTCCAGCCCCCATCCATGCGTCTCTACCCAAGACATGATGTCCCCCACTCCCTGCGATGCTCCATTGACCACGAGTACCATTATCCCAGTGGGCATTATCATGTCCTCCACGGTTCAGATGAAACAATTCCCACTCTCAAGCCCACTATGATTCATCTCCCCATCCAAACAGCCCATACTGGGAAATCCAGCCCCCATGGCCCTTCTACTCAGCCTTGTCTTGCCATGAGCTGCAAACCTGCTCCCTACCCACTCCACTAGGTTCTAATCAATAAAAGTACCCAATAAAGCTCTGATGAATTCAATGGCACAAAAGTGGCCCCATGCCAAAAGCCAGCAAGCTCATAGCATCCTAGGAAGACTCAATGAGCCCTCTGGTTAAACCTTGAGAAGATGAGGTTCTCCACATCAATGCTGAAGGGGAGTGGTTCCTTCAGGAAGGGGGAGCCATGGACACATTGCCTGCCTAGCTGACTTTCATTGGCTGACATCTTGTCTGTGTTCTTCATAGACCGTAGCAGCCTATATCTCAACACCTCTCCTCTTGCGCTCGGCTTTGCTCAGCATATCCCAGCCAGCACGAGGGCTGTGTGTGGGGGTGTGCATGAGTGTGTGGGTGTCACCCCCATGATCCACTCTCTTCTGGGAGCTGAGAAGCTGATGGGCTCACTCACCGTCCGCAGGTTTCTCAAGTGTGTGTAATGAGAAAACATCACAGGAAGGGGGAGGGCGCTAAGGAGAAAAGGGAAGTCTAGGGTTGAAATGTCTTGACAAGGCAATCACTGTGTTCACTTTGTGACCAGGCAGAGAGCTGTCCAAGACGACAGTCAGATGTCAGAGCGCCGGGAAACCGAGAAAGAAAACAGGTGGCCAGAGCAGAGCCCGGTGCGGTGGGGTAAGGCAGCTCCCTTCATTCTCTGACTCTCAAATGTGCCTTGTCACTCGGGTAGCTATTTCTGCTCCCGTTGCTTCTGCTGGCAGTTCATGCTGCAGATCAAGGAGCACCTCAGAGTGGGAAGTGGGAATGTCTGAATGAAGGCACCCAACAGGGAGGTGGGCACTGAGCTCATGGGCACTGCATTGAAAGGTCTGAATTAGCCCCAGGGATTAGCCAGCTTGCCCTGGGAGCAGGCTGAGCCCCTCTCGCAAGTCTGTGTATGTGAATATTAGAAACCACTTTGGAATTACTACAGAGGCTTGGATGCATGCGGTCGTCCACACGGGGAACCAGGGGTCCCTGGATCCTAGGGCGACACTTTGCTGGCAGTCACTTATCTCAGATCTCCTGGCCACCAAGTGCAGAGCTGCTGGCCAACCTGGGGGACAGGTGTCTTTGGGGACCACAGCCTTCCCTTCCCTGTGTTGTCTGAGCATGACAATTGATTGCATTTCCCCCAAATGGCAGGGATCTCAACATCCAAGGTCATCCGAGGGACGCCCATAGATCGGCAGCACCTGCATGGCCCTGGGTCTTTGATCTGACCTAGTCTGACAGATGGAGCCGGTGTCTCTGTAGAACTTTAGGTCTATAGAAAGGGGAAGAAAACCCGGTCTGGGGAAAACTGAAAGGAGAAGGGAAAGTGGGTAGTCTGTGGACAAAAAAATAGCCAAGTGACATCTCAGTTTTCAGTCATATAAAACAAAACCCCAGGCAAATCCACAGAGCAGGAGGGAAGAAAGGGGACTGTTGGCTTCATGGAGGTGGGGGTCCTCTTTTGCGGGGGAATGAGAATGACCCGGTTCAGGAAAAGGTGCTGGTTGAGCATTCTGGATCCGTTGCATTTTGAGTTGTACATTTCAAGGGATGAGCTCTATACTGTGTGAATTTCACCTCCGTTTTTAAAAATCAAGGCAAAAATTAGGTAAAGGGACCATGAGAGTTCCCTGAACCTCACTTTCTTACCCACTTGCGTGAGGATACTAGGAATGGCCTCCTAGGATGAGTGTGAGGGAGAAACTAGGAGCCAAGCGGAATGTGCCTACGCGTGGTCGGCCCAGGCTGTGGAGAAATCACAACACTAATTACTTCACACTGTGGCCGAATTATCCACTGTTGGCCAAGAGCCCCACGTTGTGACTAACCATCTAATTAAAACAGCAACCCTTGCTAGATCATCTTGCACGGTGCTGTTGGGTATGTGATAATGTCACTATTTGGGTTTTATTAGGGGTTGTTTTTTTTTTTCCCCCTTAGGTCAAATTTACTGAAGTTTATGCTTTTGCTCCATCATGATGAGAGGCGAGCAGAGTTCAGTTTAGAGGAAGCGGAATGGGGAACTGTCCAGCTAAGGGCGTATTCCCATGCAGATTCCTTCTGATGGGGGGATGGGTTGTGCATCTGTAGGTACCTACTTTATGTACAGCCCCAAAGCTGATGCTATGGGAGGCTTGAAAAAGGTAGAGGAAAGCAGATTCCAGAAGCTTACCAGGGATGAATGGGATGGGGACCCTCCCTGCCTTGCTGTACTGGACCACCCTCTCCTAATTAAGTGTGGCTCTGCTCAACAATTGCAGATGTGAAAAGCAGGGCAGAGACAAGACAGGAATAGCAAAGGGGAATGGTAGAGTCAGCCCAGAGGGAGGAAGGGTCTTCCCCAGGATCCTCTCGGGTGCATCATAGAGGACCCCCAACCCCATGCCAAGAACCCTGGACAAGAAGGGCTGGGTGGAGCAGGGTTTAGCTTGCAGATGGAGGAAGCCAGGAACTTCCCCCATAGCACTGGAGTATAAGGTGTGTGGGAGGCGGGGACATTGGGGAAGGTCTGGTCCATGGTTTTTATTTCCTCTTTTAGAGCAAGGGTGGTGCTCTAGGAGGAAGTGGGCTTGGGGAGGTTGGGAGGCAGGAACCCAAGGCTGTGTGCCACTCTCCAGGGGCACTCTGGCACAGGTGCACACACCCGGCTTGGGGAGCTGGCTGGACTCTGCATCATTGGGCTCCAGCCTGGGAAGCTGGTGCAGGGACAGGGGAGAAGGGGCTATAGCTTCTGGACAAGCCAGGTGACCCTCAATAGACAGGGAATTCATCACAGCAAAGGGTGGGTGGGAAAGGAGGCCGAGGTGAGGAAATGGCGAGAATGAGCCTCACAGCTCCAAGGTCTGTAGGGGCAAGGATCAGTAAGGTAAGGGATCCTATAGGTCCTACAGAGGACAGATGAGCCCCCTAGGCAGGGCTGGACATCAAGGAAGGGAGGTGTCAAAATGTACTGAACTAGCCACGTGTGGGAGGGAGATGCTGGGTCCTGGCAGGAGCCGAGCTTCAGGGGAGTCTGGGGGAAGAAGAGAGTCTGTGAAGACGGGTGCCAGCTTGGAGGTGAGGACATGCAGGTCCACAGGGTGGGTGTTGGGGGTGTGATGGCTGGATCTCCAAAAAGGAGACACTGGAAAGAATGAAATAGAGAAGGAATTGGTGATGGAGATGTCTAAGAGGGAGGAGGAGGGGAGGAGAAGGGGGCAGAGAAGGAAGGAAGAAGGAAGAAGGGAAGGGAAGAAGGAAGGCAAACAGAAAGCAGGGAAGAGAAACAGGAAGGAAAGAAGGAAAGAGGGAAGAAATTGGTGGTTGTTTGTTCGGTCGGCCCCCAGGAAGGTAATACACCAAGAGCAAAGAGACCTTAGTGTTGAGACCGATTGACTCTATAAACCCAAGGGCATGACCGAGAGCATGACTGTGCATGGTCAGAGAAGAGAGGAAGGATTCTCCAAGAGAAGGGAAGGCTTTGAAAGGATGAAGTCACGGGGAACACAGAGAGATGAACAGCAGAGACAGTCAGCGGCTGAGAGGAAGAGAAGTATGTAGAGATGGAAGGCCCCATTACAGATCACAACAACAACAACAACTGAAGAGCAAACACCAGCAAAAATCCCACTAGGGCAATGGTGGGCAGAGCCCAAGATGCCACCCCAAAACCACACAGACCATCAGATGTTCTCTGTCGAGTGCAGCTGTACGCGAACAGAGCCCTTTGCTTTTGTACTTATGTGTTGAAAACATTTTTAATAGCCTTTTTTTTTTTGGCCTCTTTTTTTTTTTCCCTTTTTTTTTTTTTTTTTTTTTTTGTCTTTTTTTTTTTTTTCCATTTTTTTTTTTTTTTTTTAAAGAGCCGTTTTAGATTTACAGAAAAATTTAAGTGGGAAGTACAGGGGATTCCTACGTACATGCTTCCCCATTCACCCAGTCTCCACACTTATTAATATTGGGCATCAGTGGGGCACATCCGACATCACTGATGGGCCAATATTGATCCACTATTATTGATTAAAGCCCACATTTTACATTAGAGCCACTCTTGGTGTGTGACGTTCTATGGGTTTGGGCAGATATAGAGTGACATACAGTCATCATCATAGAAATATACAGAGTAGTTTCACTGCCCTAAAAAATCCCCTGTGCCCTGCCTGCTCATCTGTCCCTCCCCCAAACCCTGGTGATGACTGATTTTTTTTTTTTCTGTCTCCATATTTTTTCCTTTTCCAGAATGTTGTAGAATCTGAACCTTCCCAGATGTAGCATTTCAGACTGGCCTCTTTCACTTAGCAAATGTATTTTAACATCCCCTATGCCTCTCAGTGCACTTACCCCTTTTTATTTTCCTCTTTTCTTTTTTTTTTTAACGTATCATTTTTGATTCTTGCGAAACTCAAGTTTTAAAAAAAGAGGGAAAAAATCTCAAAAAAAAAAAAAAAAAAGCTGTTATTACCATCATGGAAACCTGAGCTATCATTCCTTTTTCTCCCCCCAAAAATCCATTCTAAAAACCTCTGGAGCATGTGTCAACCATACTCACATTAAAATTTCTTAAATAAAAATGTAAAAATTTTAATTATACAAACAAAATAAAGAGAGTCAGAACAATGAGAAAATAATCAAAGTGGATGTAATATTCCCCAAAAAGCATCTTAAAGTCACTGTTACGTGTCTCCCATAGCTTCAAGGCTCATCTGAACGATAAGCAAAGCTTGAGAGAAGACAGACGGGCTGGTTTGTAGGGTAGAATTGCAGGGCAGCAGTAGTATATCTCCACGTTGTAGGAGATCTTTCTGCAAGCCGTCCCTCTCAGAACACTGATCCTGGAGAAAAGAGAAGTCAGCGGTGGGTTCCTGTTTTGGACCTCTTATGGGCTCTGGCGTAGGTGGACAGCCCCGGAGGACCTAGAATCCCAGTTGCTGTCAAATGAAGGCTTAACCTGGGGAAGGGCTTGGTGAGCTTGTGCTCCACCCCTGACCCTGGCTAGAGAGGGAACGGACATGTCCAGGAGGCCAGGTGTGTGGAGCCAGAGCCTGATTCACGGGTCCAGCAGCCTGGGAACAACCCTGCCTGACTGTCCCCACTGTTCTTTTGTGGACAATATGTTCATAAAGGGGCTGCCGATCCTAGACTTGGCCATACATCTTAGGGAGTGGATCTTGGTACCTGTGGTAGACGGGCTAATGTCCCCAGAGATGTCCATATCCTGATCCCTTTGTGGTGGACAGAATCACGGCCCCAGAGACATCCATGTCCTCCCCCAGGTTACAGACAGGAATGAAGCCACAGCTTGTGGGCAATTTGACCCAGTGGCACAGAGTACGATGGGGTGGATTGGAACCTCATGTCCACGCTGAAGGACGGGCCATTGGTTCTGCCCCACCCTGAAGCTGGTTGCAACCTACAGACCCTCTGCAGCCAGCAGTGACCCCCAGCTGGCCAGGTCAGTAGACTGACCATCAGGCTGGGGATAGTCCTGCACTCCCCAAGGAAACCTCACTGGGGCCCCCTTGCCAAGAATCCCCATGAGAGCTGATTTCCTCAAAGTGTGACTGTTTGTCCCTGCAGGTTTTCCTCATCCTTCGGGCAACCCCATGCGAGTCTTGGCCATAACCATCCTGTTCTTCATGCTGCTTGACCCAGTGTTCCTCCAGACTCTGGAGCAGCAGGGTAAGTGTGTGAACCTGTTTGACCCTTCTCTGCCTGTCTCATTCCTACATCCCGTGTGTCTTGGGGACACATCCTGATGCCTGAGTCCAATCACATTTCATCTTCGTACTCATTGGTTAGCCAAGTGGCACAATCCAGGGTCACCAGAAGCTAAAGTGTTTTCTTGCTCGTGCTCTGAAAGCCCCTTCCTGCTCCAGGCTTATGACGAGGTCATCCACCCTAGATGCCAACTGTAGGTCATCAGCCCCAGGTCTGAGCAATGGACGTGGAGGGTCTTGCCCTGGCAGGGACTAGTAAACATCTTGACTTAAACAGGTGGACAGGGGATACAAGGTGAGGCCACACACACTCAAGTCCCACCCCTTGACAAAGGCAACGTCAACTGACCAGTAGCATAGAGGCCACGTGGCTGAGAGTTTCAGTAGACAAATGGACAATGGGCAGAGCATCCTTAAGAAAAGAACTCTGGCCCATGACCTGCAGCAACCTGTCCCAAGGGACCAGCCCTTGTCTATGGGGACCAGCCTGCAGAGCCAACCTGCTGTCTGCATGTTAGATGTGCAAAAAGCCAGATGTCCATCCCCATGACAACCCAAGGAGCTAAATGATTCCTTCTGGAACAACAGGCCCCCAGTGACCAGCACTTGATCAGTAACCAATGGCTTCCCTACGTTTTGACCCCAGTTCCTATATAGGACCAACTAGAGAAAGCCAGATATGGTCCCCTAACCAGTCCCATGGGATGCCCTACTTGTAGTGAGCCACCTGCATCCCCACACCCACAGCCTCTGCTCAGGACACAGCTGAATATTCCCTTTAGCCCACTGTGAAACTTGCCCACTCCCCTGTCTCCCCTTTGTCTCTGACAAATGCCAGTGGTGGTGGCCAACTTCCTCACCGTGGCAGGCTCTGAGTAAACAGACTCTGTTGCTCTCACTTGGTAGGTCTTGGCTTACTGGCATGATAAGCATCTTAACATGGAGAAAAGGCATGGAGGTCCAGGTAGGAAGAAGAGATCCATCAGGGGGAGATTCCATGCATGTGTCAATGCCCTGGGGCCACCTGTGTGGATAGGGGAAAGGACACCATGTCCCAGTCTTGATCTTTGCTTACAAGACATGGGATGGGTCAGCAGGCAGTGGGTAGAGGTAGGAAAAGTGTAATTTCTGAAACTGGTGGTCCTTTCTTTCAGATATTTCAACTGCAGAAAGGGTCCCCCGTCTAAATATGAAGTTTGATTCTTGGAGAATGAAACTGAGTTGGGACTGCGAAGAAAACACTACCTACCTCGAATGTGTGATGTTTCACAAGGAGAATGGACCAATCAACATAATAGTAAGACAGATTCGTTATGGACGATTGCTGTCCTTTACAAACCTCTTGTCACGTTAGAAACAAGGCAGCAACTGGTGGAAACAGAGAGCATGTGCGTGACCCTGAGACACATCTAGGAGACATGCTTCTGGGTGCACCAGGAAAGTTAAGTTCTGGCCTGTGTCCAAGAGGTGCACCCTGATTCCCCAGGGGACTGAGGAACTCCTTGGAAAATGTCTTATCCCAAAAGGAAAGGGCGTTCAGGGCTCCCAGGAGCCCCAGCCCAAAACTCCTATGAGGTTAGCCCTGTTACAGGCTGCAGGGCGGGACCCTCAGGGATGCTCAACCATCCAAGGAAGATGAGATGAGGCAGGCTTGTGGAATGGGGCTCCAGTGCAATACAGGTAGATTGCAATTGGGCACACAAATGCTCCCAGAATTTCCAGTGGTCACTTTCAGGGAGATGAAATAGCCAACAACAGTAATCGGGGGAAGACAAATGGCTTATTCTGTGACTTTGAGTCTTCTGTACCCCTTCAAGGGGTGTTGCTTAGGGGACCTGCCCTCCTACCAACAGAAACAGCAGCCTTTTGCTCAACTGGTCCATCAAAAGTCATCCATGTGGTCGACTTAATCCTGAGAAAGAAATAGTTGGTCACCCATGTTCCATGAAAACAAAGTTACTGAATAGATACGATGAAAACAAATAGATACATGAAATAGATGATACATGATACAATAGATGATACAAATAGATACATGAAATGAAAACAAATAGATACATGAAAACAAACTGAATAGATACAATGTAAACATGAAGGCTGTGGGAGAAAGGGGTATGAGATAAGACAAGAAAACGGAAAAACATAAAAGAGTGTGTGTTAAGCTCCACGATGCTTAAAGTGATGAGAGATCTCGATGCTCAGAGCAGTGGTCCTCAGGTTAGCCTCACCCAAGAGCTTTGTTACAAACGCAGAATCCCCTGCCTACAAAGTGCTGAACCAGAATCATTTTGACAAGATCCCCGGGGACTGAGGGCACACTTAAAGGGGACCTCTATTCCAACCTCCTAAACACTGGAGACTAGACCAGCAAGTCGAGGTGCCGCCTTCATGTGGGCAGGCTGCCATCCACCCACCGAGAATGTCCATGGGTGCTGGTGGCATCTCGGGGTCCGTGGAAGAGCGAACAACACGGAGAGGAGAAGAAGAAAAGAGTTTCCTAATGTACTGACTGGTTGCATCTTTTTAGCCCCAGGAGAAAGAATGTCACTGCGAGTTTTCGGATTATTCTCTCCATGATGGAGTCACGCTTATGGTTAAAGTAAATAGCACCCAAAGACCGATTCCAGAAACACTGGTCTACGCTAACTCAGGTAGGGAAAACATCGCGGTGACCCTTTTGAATGTCACTAGCTTCAAGGTAGAGACCTTCCCTTTATTTCTCTTTAGTTTTATTGAGATACACTTGACAATAGGTATTTTATATATTTAAGGTATATAACTTAAAGCTTTGATAGACATACATGTTGAGAAATAATTATTGCAATTAAGCTATTATCCCTCCCTTCAGCCCCTGGAAAACACCATTTCCTCTCTGTGTCAATGCATCTGCCACATGTTGGCTATTGTGAATAATACTGTGATGAACATGGGGGTGCACCTATCTTTTTGGAATTCATATTTCATTTCCTTTGGAAATACACCCAGAAGTAGGATTGCTGGGTCATGTAGGAGTTCTGTGGTCAGTAGTAAAAGAAACGTCTGTGTTTTCCACAGTGGCCACACCAACGTACATTCCCAACGACACTGCACAAGGGTTCTCTTCTATCCACATCCTCACCAGTATTCATCTCTTTTTTTTTCTTTTTAATAGTCATTAAGTGACTATTAAAATGTGTGAGGTAATAGCTCAGTGTGGGTTTTATATACATTTTTTTGATGATGAGTGATGTTGACCATCTTTCTGGGTAGCTGTTGGCCATTTGTATGTATTCTCCTCAAAAATGTCTATTCAGGTCTTCTGCCTGTTCAGTTTAAGTTTTGTTTTGTTTTGTTTTCTGGTTTTTTGTTTTTGGGGGGCTTTGGGCTTTTTTTGCTGTTGAATTGTTTGAGTCCTTATCTGTTTTAGATATTAACCTTTTATCAGATAGATAGAGATTACAGATATTTTCTCCCACTCCGTACATTGCCTTGTCTCTCTGATGATTGTTTCCTTCTCTGAGCTGAAGATTTATAGTTTGATGGAATCCCAGTTGTCAATTTTTGGTTTTGATGCCTGTGCTCTTGGTGTCATATCCAAAAAAATCTTTGCCAAGACCAATGCCAAGAATCTTTCTCCCTATGTTTTCTTCCAGTTGTTGTATGGTTTCAGGTTCTATGTTTAAGTCTGTAATTGATTTTGACTTGATTTCTATATGCAGTGACATAAGGATCCAGTTTATTCTTCTGCTTGTGGATGTCCATTTTTCCCATCCCCATTTAGTGAAGAGGGAATCCTTCATCCGTTGTCTGTTCTTGGGACTCTCGTTGAAGGTCAACCTTGTTGACCATAGGTCTGTGGATTTACTTCTGGGCTCTCTGAGGTCCCATTGATCTATGTGTCTATCTTTAGGCCAGTGCCATACTGTTTTGAGGATTATAGCTTTGCAATGTATTTTGAGATTAGGAAATGCGACGCTTCTAGCTTTGTCCTTGCTCAAGAGTGCTTTGGATCTTTGAAGTCTTTTGTTGAATTTTAGGGTTCTCTTTCTATTTCTGTAGAGAACACCATTGGGATTTTGATAGGGATTGAGTCAATCTACAGATCACTTTGGGTAGTACGGACCTTTTATCACCATTAGTTATCTCAATTCACAACCACGGGATCTCTTTCCATTTATCTGTGTGTTCTTAAATCTCTTTCATCAATGTTTTATAATATTCATCAACGTAATTTTATAATACTCAATTTACTTCCTTGGTTAAATTTATTCCCAAGTATTTTATCCTTTTGGTTGCTATTATGAATGGGATTATTTCATTCTTTTTAAATTTTATTTTTAAGTACTCTATACACTCAACGTGGGGCTTGAAGTCACAACCCCAGGATCAAGAGCTTCACGTTCTACTGACTGAGCTGGCCGAGCACCCCGGGATTATTTTTTTAATTCCTTCCTCGAATAGCTCGTTATTAGTGTATACAAATACTGATTTTTGTATGTTGATTTTATATCCTGCAACTTAATTACATTTATTTATAAGTATAACAATGTCCTTTGTTTGGTCTTTAGGTTTTTCTACATATATGGTCATGCTACCATCAAACGGAGATAAGCTTACTTTTTTTCTTTTAATTTGGATACTTTTATTTCTTTTTCTTGTCTAATTATTCTGGCTAGGACTTCCCATACTATGCTAAATAGAAGTGGTGAGAGTGCCTACCTTGGCCTTGTTTCTTACCTTACAAGGTAAGCTTTCAGTTGTGTTTTTTTTTTTCCCCATTGAGTGTGGTTTTTAGCCATGGGCTGTCCATATTTGTCCTTTATTGGGTTGAGGTAAATTTCATGTACAGCTATTTTATGGAGAGTTTTTTATCATGAATGGATGCTGAATTTCATCAAAGACATTGTGTGTAGCTACTGAGATGACTCTGTGATGTTTTCTTTCATTCTATTAAAATGGTGCCACACAGCGATTGATGTCCATATGTTGAATCATCTTTGCATGTGGGGATAGGTCTACTCGGTTACGACATGCAATCCTTTGAACGTGCCGTTGGATTTGCTTGTTAGTATTTTGTTAACGATTTTTTACATTTACGTTTGTTAGGATATTGGGATGTGATTTTCTTTTCTCATCTCTTAGGGTTGTGATATCATGGTGATCCTGCCCTCATAAAATGAATTTGGAAATGCTGCCTCTTCTTCTATTTTTTGGAAGAGTTTAAGAAGGATTGGGGGTGGGGGGTGCCTGGGTGGCACAGTCAGTTGAGCATCTGACTCTTGGTTTCTGCTCAGGTCCTGATCTCAGTTCATGAGATTGAGCTCTGCATTGGCCTCTGTGCTCAGAGGGAAATCTGTTTGGGATTCTCTCTCCCTCTCCCTCTGCTCCTCCCACTCATGCTCTCTCTCGCTCTGTCTCTCAAATAAATCAATTAATCTTAAAAAGGGGGGGGGTTGGAATTAATTATTCTTTGGATGTTTGGTAGACATTTCAACCATGAAACCATGTGGTCCATTTCCCACAAATTATTTTGTTTTTGTGTCTTCTCAGGTGGGAATGACACAGCTGCCCAGAATTTCTCCTGCTTTATCTACAATGCAAACTTCATGAACTGCAGTTGGGCAAAGGGTCAGGCTGCCCCTGATGATGTCCAATATTTTTTGTATATAAGAGACTCGAGGTAAGTGTTGAGCTCAGGTAGACAATCCCAAGACGTACGGGCCGGAGGAAGCCCAGATTGTTCTCTGAACAGTTTTGAATTTTCTAGGAAAAGAAGGGAAAGAGAGTGTCCTCATTACATAGAAGACTCGGGAACCCATGTGGGATGTCACCTGGAAGACCTCTCGGGATTAACTAGCTACAATTACTTCCTGGTGAACGGTACCAGCCAAAGGACGGGGATCCAGTTCTTTGATTCGGTTCTGTCATGGAAGAAAATCGGTAAGAGCCATGTCCTGTGGTGTAAACAGATGCTTAACAGGTGAACCAAAGGGAGTTCGTGGGGAAGTTTGGAAGAATGGAAATTTTTTCTTTCATGGTTCTGGAGGCCAGATACCCAGAATCAAGGTGTTAGCGTGGTTGCTTCCTTCTGGAAGGAGGCCAACCTATCCTTTTAGTCTGAATTAAACCGGATGATAAGAAGTGGTTCCCCCCAGAAGAAGCAAGAGTCTTCCAATGCCCTCATAGCCTCCAAGAGCTGGCTCTGGCCCCAGGACAGCCCAGACAGGAAGGTGTTTTGCCTGAAGTCAGACCCTGAAGCCCCTTGAGGACCAAAGGCAGGATGTTCAGACCAGGAGATGGAGGTTAACTCTGACCCTTTTGTGGCCGTCCCCCATGGGTAGCACGCACAGCCTTCTCTTGCTGTTTTGGGGGCCACCATTGGCAAACAGATGCAACTCTCCAGTTAATCTACTTCACAGGCCATTGCCAACCCCCACTCTCCACCTCCACGTCACCTGTTGGGGGAGCTCCAGGTGTGTGTACCCAGCCAGGTAGCAGCTGTGCTCCCTACCTCTCAGGGTCTGCATTTCCTGTTCCTTGCTGCAAAACAAACCTCCTGTGGCCCTGACTCAGCCACCCTCCTCCTGAGGAAATCCCCATTTTTTTCTTTTTCCCTCCCCATGTTTCTAACCTTTTTATTTAACTCAGGAAAGCCCAATATTATTTCAAACTTCAATCCTGTGCCATCGTGACTGACAGTAAGAAATTGCATGTTTGGTCTCTGTCCTTTCAAGCACAGAACGGCCACAACCCTAGGAATTTCCCCGGGAGGAGAGCAGTAAGGTGTGCCTTTTGTTACGTTAAGGAGTTGACAGCTGAAAAGCCCCAAAGGATGGGGGTCGGTTGCCAGGGGAACCAACTAGGAGATTAAAGGATTGGAATGTTCAGTCCCCTCCTGTGACCTCCCGGACCAGGACTGGAAAGGAGCTGGTGGCTGACTTCAGTCCCCAATGGGCAATGATTTTAATCACCATGTTTACATAACAAAGCCTCCCTAAAATCCCAAAAGGATGGGGTTTGGACCTGGGTTTGGTGGACATGTGGAGGTTTGGGAAGAGAGACACCCCTGACAAGCCCCTTCCCCACACCTGGCCCCATGAATACTTTTTCTGACTGTTCCTGAATTACAGCCATTTATAATAAACCCGTGATCTAGTGAGTGACGTGTTTCCTTGGGCTCTGTGAGTCGCTGTAGCAGATTAATAGAACCCGAGGAGGAGGTCCTGGGAACTTCTGATCTACAGCTGGTGGGTCAGAACAACCTGGATTTGTGACTGGCATCTGACCTAGGGGGTGAAGGGCAGTCTTATAGGGCTGAGCCTTAGGAGATCTGTCACCACGTCCAGGTAGATAGGTCAGAATTGCGTTGAATTGTAGGACACCCCACCAGTTGTCTGAGAATAGCTTGATGGTGGGAAGGGGGACCCCACGCATCAAAACTGGGTACAGAGTCCTACATGCACATCACAAAATGAGCACAGAACTGTCCTCTGTGCACCGCTGAACCTGCACACATCCCAGTGGTCTTCTTCCCCAAGAGGCAATACTCAAACCCACACAGACTCTGGCCTCTGTGTGACTCCTGGGAGCTGCCTGCAGAACTGGGTCTGACCTCCATGGCCCAGCAGATGCCCGCTGGTTCAGGGGAGTGTCCTGGGATCTCGTTACAGAAATATATAGCCCACCTAACAACATCAGCGTGCTCTGCAACAAGTCCCACTGCCTGATCTGTTGGGAAAAGCCCAAGACCCGATACAGGCTGTCCAACATGGAGTTCAAATACCAGCTGGACATCCAGAGAAAGGTGAGTGGACTCTGCCCCAAGCAGGACATTGTGCCTCAAGGAGCAGAGGGCAGCAGCCCCTGTGACTCACGGTGAGGGCCCAGGTCATGGGAGATGGGCAGGGCTAGGTGATCCATGGGGAGGAACACAGGGGTGGCTGTGTGGACAGGATGCCCTGGGCATGAGGGTCACCACCACAGCCAATCCAGGAGGGGTAGCCCCACACCCAGCTGGATCCTTCAGTCCTTCAGAGGGTGCTGGAGATCTCCAAGCAGATGCAGAACAGAGAGGACCTTCTGCTACTTGCCCACTCAGACCCCACCTGGAGAAGGGGTATTTTCTCTACCACATCCACCTGGACCCAGCGTAGATAAGGGGGAGCCTCTGCTCCAAGTCCAGCTGGACCCAGTGTAGACAGGGACACTCTCAGCTCCACATCTACCTGCACCCAGTGTAGACAAGGGGCACTCCCTGTTCCACGTCCGCACGGCCCCAGTGTAGACAAGGGGGAGCCTCTGCTCTACATCCACTGGGACCCAGTGTAGACAAGGGGGACTTTCTGCTCCAAGTCCAACTGGACCCAGTGTAGACAAGGGGGACTCTGCTCCCCACCCACATGGACTCAGTATAGACAAGGGGAACTCTCCGCTCCACATCTACCTAGACCCAGTGTAGATAAGAGGGAGTCTGTGCTCCACATCCACATGGACCCAGTGTAGACAGGGGGACCCTCTGCTCCACGTCCACTTGGACCCTTAACTGGACCCATCAGTAGCTGGGGTTCAAGGACGAGGCATGATCAGGGCCATCCTCGGTGGCCAAGTCCATACCCCCATCTGCGTGACTTGAGGAGAAGAACGTACAGAGGGAACTCAGCCCTTCCCATGGCCCCAACTCTTGGGGTTACCCCGTGACTACACTCAAAGGAGACAAATGAACGGATCCTGTAAAAATCTTCAAAATGGAGAAAAGTAAACCTAGGTCTATTTTTTTTTTTTCTAGAGCAATAAGGAAAACAGCGAGAATCAACTGGTGAGTTAAGACTCTGACCCAAAATACCATCCCGTCGTGTAACTGTCCAATGTTACTCAAGTGGACACGTGGCCAGGATGGGGTGGGTGATGAGTGAGAGGGTGGCGGCTCCCCAGAGGGCAGTCCAGTCAGTGATGTAGGGATGCTCCCAACAGTCCCGCTGTGGGAGGAGAGCTCATCTGGGTACACTTGCCCTGTCCCATTTGTTGAAATTAGTGACCTCCCACCATGTGCATCTATGTTGGTCAAGAAAATACTCCTTTGAGTTTGAAGAAGATTGTTTCTTCCTTCAAAACGCCTCTAGCAGAAAATCATCCAAGCCCTTTATGGTGGCGTGTCCTAAGTCCCAGCACTACAGTGACCTCAGTGTCCTCCGCTGTCCAACTGGGGGCTTTTACTCAGTTAACATCCTTCCTGGGACGTTACCCTTTGGTGGCTCTGCTCCTGTCCTGTGTACCTCCTGAATGTTTTCTGCATCTGTGTTGATGAGCACCCAAGAAGTGTCCCATGGTGAATGGGGGACTTGCCCTTGATGCTGTTTCACACGGTGAGGACACGGTTCTTCTTGTCCTCTTTCCACGGTGCATGTTCCATGCCTGGATCAGGAAAGTGTGCTTGGACACTGTCATCCATCCCAGTGGTGGGAAAAGACATCCCAGCCCCTCTTTTTGGAAGGCAGGACACCCCACTCTCAAACTTTTTCTTTTGTCCAAAGATTGAGGTGCCTGGTAATTTGGAGAATAGCTACAACTTTCCAAGTCCGGAGCCTAGACCCAAGCATACTGTGAAAATAAGGACCTCGGACGCACGGATCCAGAAGTGGGGTGCCTGGAGCCAGCCCATTGAGTTTGGTATATGTCCTGGGCACGTCCCTCCATTCATCTCTGAGACCTTCCCATTCCTGTCCCCATCCCAGTCCCTGACACTGTACCCATCCCCAACTCCGTCCCCATTCCCATCCCTGTCCCTGTCACCATCCCCAGAGACTCCCAGACGGAGGAATTTCCATCCACGGGTCTCCACGGGGCTCTGTTCCTTCAAAGAATGGACAACCCACTCAGCCTCCCAAAGGGGCTGCTTCAGCTAGAAAAGATGAATCACTCCTGGTCCCCATCAACCCTGTTCACGTCATGCTCCCAGCCAGGGGAACACAGACATCCACGTTGGGCGTGTTTTCTCCTCATCAAGAGGGAGTTATGCATTCCAGGGAACTCGATTACCAACGCCTTCCGCCATTTTCCTCCCTGGAACCTTGAAGGGTTGGCAAGAATTTAATGGTTTGGACCCAAAGCCAATAGAGTCCTCAAGAAATCTGCATTTCCACACTACCTCTCCCTCCCAAATATTTTCAAAGTGTTTCAGTAAGCATTTGATGCACGCAATTTTGTGGGTTGGTTATTTTTTTATCCTGATCCAAAAGCAAATTAAAAAAAAAAAAGGGCTGGTATAAAATGTATGTAAAATATTCATCCAGAGGTAAAACGTAAGTTCGAAGAGATGAGATAGTGGCTTCTTAACTATGACTCCAAAATGAGGAACAACAAAATTAAAAAAAAAAAAAATAGGTCAATTGGCATTCATCAAAATTAAAAATTTTGTATCACATGGAATGGGCACTTTTTAAGTGAAATTGTTATTATTATCGTTATTTTGTAAGAGGGCACATTTTGTCTATTAATATGGAAAACTCTCAAGACGCCATTCAATTTGGTTATGGCCATCCTCATAGGACTGGGTTTATTTTCTTTTTTTTTTAAGATATCACTTATGGGGCGCCTGGGTGGCTCAGTGGGTTAAACCTCTGCCTTCAGCTCAGGTCATGATCTCAGGGTCCTGGGATCGAGCCCCACATCGGGATCTCTGCTCAGAAGGGAACCTGCTTCCCCCCTCCTCTGCCTGCTTCTCTGCCTATTTGTGATCTCTCTCTGTCAAATAAATAAATAAAATATTTTTTTTAAAAAGATATTACTTATTGTTTTGAGAGAGAACCAGAGAGGGAACACAAGCAGGGGGAGTGGGGAGGGAGAAGCAGGCTCCCCGCCAAGCAGGGAGCCCGATGTGGGGCTCGATCCCAGGACCCCGGGATCATGACCTGAGCCGAAGGCGGACGCTTAAGCGACTGAGCCCCCCAGGCACTCCCAAGGCAGTGGGTTTTTTAATTGGATTTCTTTAAAAATAGTAACATAAGATGTGCCCTGTTAGAAAAATATCAAATTGTAAAAAGTGCCCCTTCCGCATGGTAAGCAATCCAGAAGATCTACTACTAGTTGTGAGGCAACTTTGTTCACACCCTATGCCTGGAAATGGGTATTTTGGGGTGGGGTCCATTGTTAATTCATTTATTTATTTTTACCTTTTTTTTTTTTTTACTGATTTATGTTTGGGTCCATTTTTACATAGTCTCGTCGTGCGGCACGAGCACGTTATGGTTGGGAGGGTCGTGAGGATGCTTTGCCTCATGGACGGCTCTGTGGGACAGGGTTGGGATGGGCACATGGGGGTAGATTTTTCCCGCTCTGAGCCTTTCTGGGAAGCCTTGAGCCGGCGAAGGAGGGAAGGAACCGGCCATGCCCTGACCATCCACCTGAAGGGGACCGACCCTCTGTCCGCAGGCTCCGAGGAAACCACGCCCAGCCTCGTGCCCATCTACGTGCTGGTGGTCCTGGGGACCCTCATCACGGTCCTGACCCTCGGCTGCCTTTTGAAAAGGTAAACCCCACTGACAGGTCGGCGTCATCCTTGCAGACGGGCGAGGCGGACAAGGTGCTCGTTCAGAGGGAGCTCAGGGAACCCGCTGCTGTGACGGCCCTCTGGGGAGCTGTAGCTGGCAGCCGACGGGGGCCTTGCCCTGACCCTCGAGGGGCAGCACCGGACACACGTTCTCCGATGCTTCCAGGCCCCTGGGCTGCACTGAGCCCACCCGTTTGGCCCTGTCCCTCCAACTGGACGTGGACCCCCACCCAGCTCAGCTGTGCTCACGGATGGGTTGCATTCAGCCTCATGGGAAGGACCTTCCTCTTTCTGGAACGTCTCCCCACAACCTCTCATCTAGCCCTTCATGTCCCCCCATAAGTCTTGCAGAGTCCTAGGGGCCTGCCGAAGGCCACTCCTCCTACACCCTGTTGGGACCCAGGAGGTGTCCTCCGGTGCCCACCCCTCGATGCCCCCGATCCTAATCGAGCGTCCCGTGTACACTTCCCTGAGCACTGACCCATGAGCTAACGGCACAGGAATGTAGCCTAGGGACAAGGACAGGACTCCGCCCAGCCTGCTGGACGAGTGCTGACCCAGCACCAGCCTGTGCTCTAGGGAGCCTGGACCCGAGAGCAAAGGGGAACAGGGGCAGCCCCGCAACCGTCTGCCAGAATGGGGATGGAGCGCGTGCTCTACATGAGAACAGTTATCTTAATGAAAAGCTGTTTGAGTTTCCTGTGACCACAGGGGAAAAAATGACCACAACCAGAAGGTTTGAAACAACAGAAATGAATCATCTCCCATGTCTGGAGACCAGAAGTCTGAGATCCAGATGGGTCAGGACCACTGAAATCCAGGAGGGGCAGGACTGTGCTCCGTCTTGAGGCTCCTGGGGAGGGTCCTTCCTCCTATTCCAGCTTCTGGGGCTCCAGGCGTCCCCGGGCTGGTGGCCGCGTCCCTCTCATCTCTGACTCTGTCCTCACGTGTCTTCTCCTCTGTGTCTGTGTCTCCCCTTCCGTGTCTTGCGAGGACCCTTGTCCTTGGATTTAGGGCCACCCTGATCCAGGATGAGCTTATGCTCCCTTGATTACAACGGCAAAGACCTGATCTCCAAACACGGTCCCATTTCCAGATTCTGGGGTTCAGGTCTTGAATATACATTTTGGGGGGACAGTACGGAGCTCAGCAGAAGCATCTTCAGACGTCACGGAATCGGGGGTGCTGTCCCTTTCATAAGAGAGAAAGCAAGTGCCCCTTTGAAAATGCAGCAAAACTCCAATGTTTGGCAAAGACAAATTCCGCTGTTTAAGTAAAAACACGAGGATTCGGGGCAAACCTTTAACCCAGCACATAGAAACCTGCCACACCGGGAACCGCTGTTCGTCATTGTGTGGATTTAGAAGGGACACACACCTTGTGATCCGCAGGGACCCTGGGCTGTCCCGGCTGCCTGGGACCGGCCATGTCCCCCACTCTTGTCCCTGTACCCAAGTGAGTCAGCGAAGGTTCTAGAAACATCCTAACCCTATGCGTTCCTATAGTGTGTCTTGCTGGCTCACGGATCTCAAATTTGAGTGGTCCCGCTGTGACTCTTCCATGGAATTGTTCTCCAGCTCGCGGCCCGCAGGCTTCTGCCACTGTGGGCAGGAGGATGCGTCCCTCCTCGCGGCCAGAAGGACATGTGTCCTCAGGCTCTTCCCCTCACACGCTTCCCGGCTCCCTAGGTTCCTCGCATCCCAGACTTTATTCCCACCAATTCCGCGCATCAAAGACAAGTGGACGGATAACCATCGGCCTGACCACCAGGTGGGTGAGGCGGGGACAGAGCAGAGAACCAGGACGGGGAGGACGCCCCAGCGAGTCTGCCCAAGGGGGACCGCGGTGTCCTCATGGGGTGTGGCTGGGATCCCGGTCCTGCTCTCCGGCTGACCGGAAACCCCAACACCCCCACCCTCCCTCTCCTCCTCAGATCATCTGGGAGAACTTCACCTTGGACACGGAAAAAGGTGACAACGAGGACATCCTAACAGTGCAGGAAGTCACAGTGGCCCCGGCGAGCATGGAAGCTGCATAGACGCTTCCGGCCTGGGAACATTCTGGAAGCTGCTTTTTTTTTTTTTTAATTATTATTATTGTTGTTTTGAGCATTTATTTATATAGCTTTTTTTTTAATTTTTTTACTTGAAAAGAATGTGATTTCTTGCAAAGACGGCTGTCATCGGAGGGCTCACTGAACGCGCTGGGATCCGACGCCGTGATGCCCCTGCTTCTCTCCCGGGAACAGAGAGCTCTTCCTTGTTTTACCGTGGCTCAGATACCCTCCTGGCATCAGCCAGCAGGGCTGAGACGTGGGTCTCTGGCGTGTCTGTGGTCCCCATGGGACCCCCCCCATGCCCTCCTCTGTTTCTCCACTAGCTGCAGCTCAGCCCCATGTGGGGACCATCTGAGGGTCCTGAATAGTTATCTCCCCTGCAAAGTCCCATTTGCCACCTAACATGACACATTCCAAGGCTCTAGGAATCAGGGTGTGGACATCTTTGGGGACATTGTTCCATCCACCACC